CATACTGATTTCCACAGTGGTTGCAAAAAGGTGCAAATTTCCAGTGATGAATGTCATTATATTGTATACTAATATGTACCAATAAAATAAGAAAAAATATGGGAACATAAAGATGTAATTGCTTGATTTCTAAATATCTCCCCTGGCCCATGTCTTCTAGTCCCACCTCAGGCATTCATAGGGTCCACGTACAAACACCTCAGCTTTGGTGACAGGAACAAATACACATACACATGCAGAGACACACATGCACACTTGTGCACCTGAGCCCAAATTCCTCCAAAAACTGCTAAGGCTTCTTTCTATTTGCTTCTTAGCGGAAATTGCCAGAAGCCTACATTACTGCGACAGCTTCTCTTCCTCACACTCAATAGTCCTTCTCACTCTGGGTCTCTTTATCTTACCTCAGGGTTTCCCCAGTCAGTCCATGGTGGATTTGACTAAATCAATGAAGCTGTTCTTATTTGCCTACTATTTTTAAAGCAACTCATTTTTTTTCATTTATTCATGTATTGATAAAATATTCCTTCACTTCTCTTGAGAAATGTAGAAGGCAATTCTAAACAATAAATACAATGAACAACAAAGCTGTGAGAAAATAAATATCCATAGAAGTTCCTGCAGAAGCCCTGATTCCAAATGCACCCTTCTTTGGAGCTGGTGAGTCTGGTCATGTGTAGCACTTATTGATATCTGCCCCCTTTTTTTGACTTTTTGAGTCAGGATCTCACTATGTATTTCAGGCTGGCCTTGAACTTACTATATAGCCTAGGCTGGCCTGGAACTCATGGTGATCCTCCTTGCCTCAGCCTCCTGAGTGCTGGGATTACAGGTGTGAACCACCCTGCCCAGCTTGTAGCAGTTTTGATGGTTAAGTCTAATTATCAACTTAACTAGATTGAGACTCATAGAAAGACGACTGAATGATGGATTAATCCACTGATGCTCACGGCTGACATGTGCCTTCAGGAGGTGGGGTCCAGTTGTAGCTAGGCTGTCACGGGTGGCAACTCTACAGGAAAGTGCAACTTTTTGTTTTTTTAGACAGGGTCTCACTTTGAAGTGCAGGCTGGCCTTGAACTGACTATGTAGTTCAGGCTGGCCTTGAACTTGCATGCACCACCACACCCAGAAGATATTCCTTTTTAACACACTGATGCTTTCTCCTTGGCTAATAAACAGGATGAACGAAGGTAAAAGAGGATGACTGACTACATGTGCTATTATGTGTACCACGTGGGTCACCTGTGTCATAGGACTTCCTGCCCTCCAGCATCTTCTTGAGCGTGGAGGCCAGGATGAATTCAGAGTTCATGTAAATGTCTGACCTACTCTCAGGACCTAGGAGGAAGTATCAGGGCACTCACAAGTCCCTATGGCATCCTCGTGCAAGTCGGACACAGGTACCACTCTAAGGGCAGGCACCTTGTCAATATACATGGCTTGGAAAGAGGACAGTGCTTGTGTGAGTACTTGAAAAAGGCCTCCATTTCTCTAAGCCAACATAGCTTTCTGCCAGGCAGCAGTTGGATCTTGGCCTTGCTTACTGCCTTGTTCCAGCACCCTCAAGCAGTGAACAATGGGCACAGCTATACGAGTTGAGTGCCAAGCATGACCTCAGCTTCAGCAGTTCCACTAGATACTACTAAGGTCACAATTTAGTGGCTGACATTTTAGGGCTCCCTGTGGTGTCCTCTCCCAAGCCCACTCCAACTCCTTTTCATTTCCAGCTTCTGGGCTATGCAGTTACTCAGCAGTACATCCACGGGCATGCAGAAGGGGAATGTATTGGAGATAAAGGTAGCATTGGCAGTTCTCTTGAGAGTTCCAGATGTCCTCTGATTTGGGATCACCAATGCTAACCTTGTCACCCATTGCATGCCAGGCTCCTCAGTGGAGAACACCCCTTTGCGGACATGGCTAGGTTCTTTGCTGCTGTGCTGATGATGAATAGCTGAGTGACGAGCTGAGTTTGGAGGCATGCCTCTATTATGTCAAGTCAAGGTAAGTCATTGAAAAACAGCAGAACCAACAACAACAGGGTCTATTGTTCAAGTAGCTTCCAACTATCTGAAGACAGAGCTCTGGGCTACAAAGTCAGAAAATCCACAAGGGTTTGTTCAAGCAACAAGAGTATGGATTTAAAAGGCCCGGAGATCTGGGCAGCAGAAGGAGCTGGAGCTAGTATTAATACAGAGGATGGGAAGGAAATTTTTATTTGTTTTGCTTCAGCCTTTCTGAATGTTGCATAGCACACAGCTAGTGTGCTAGTGTGAATAGTAATTTTTTTTTTTGGTACTAGGGATCGAACTCAGGACCTTGAGCTTGAGAGGCAGGCGCCAGAACCATTGAGCTAAATCCCCAGCCCCACGAATAGTAATTTTTAAAGAAGGATTCTAAGATGTCAGTAAGTTCAAAAATGAATTCATTTAGACTTTTACAATAATTTACATAGTGCAACCACCTTGAAATGTCCATAATAGGCCTGGTTCATAAATTCCAGTGGAAATCAGAGGGGTGATGAGAAGAGATTAAACTTGCCGAGGAATAGGATATGTTGACCAGTTAAATCTCTGAAGGCAATTCTCCTAAAGGTCCTGTAATCTAGTCATAGCACCCACTGCCCTCTGGTAACACAGCAGGAGGCCTCAAGGGACAAACAAGGGTCTTCTATGACCAGCTCCTACTGAAACTCAATGTCCAGTCCCCAGCTGCCAACCACCCCTCTGCCTCGAGTCCGAGTCCTTTTCCTGCCAAAACCACCCAATGCCAACCTGAGAACTGCTTCTAGAAGGCCCGCTGAGCTGCCTTTCAATACTGATTTTGAAAGAAGGAAGGAAAACCAAAAATCCATCAAAACCAAAAATAGCAAATTTGTATCAGCTCATAATTAATGCCACGTGATAAGCAGTGACTACTCTGACCATGGAGTTGAAAAGGTTCTGGGCCAAAGGCAAGGGACTTTGTTTGATGACAATTTTAAATAGGAAAAAAGGTCCAAAGACGAAGGAGTGAAGGGAGGGGAAGGGGAAAGGAAAAGAGGGAAAGGAAAAGCTATGAGAAAAGAAAAAAAAATGGAAATGAAATCTATGTAAATAGGGAAGGGTGGAGGGGGTGAAGGGTGCACAGGTAATGGGGAAAAAAAATAAGAACCAAGATACATCATGTAC